AATCGGATTAAAGCAATGTCCAAAGAGCATAACGTCGCTTTTAAGGTCAACAGAACTGCGCCTCGCGATGTCATTTGTCGTTAGAACGTACACCGCGAATGATGGATTTCACTCACATAAGGGTGCACCAGATACTTTCGTCGATTTTGAAACCGCTCGTGTCAGAATCGATGGTTGAAGATAACGTTATCGAGCAGGAAGAGGAGGAGGAAGAAAATGCGTATAATTGAATATTTTCGTTTACACAAGAAAAATTGTATCGAAGTTATAATTTGGTGACGCGATTATAAATTTTTACTGGTTAATTTCCAAGCGTTTAGTATTAGATATTGGAGTATCTCTCTGCGTGAAATATACGATATTATTGAGCCAAACCGAAAGTGTTTGAACAAATAATAAATATATCGTTCTAAAAAAGTGATCGAGTTTCATGTACATGTAAAATAAAGTTCAGAGAAAAACTATTGCGTGATTTGCCCACTTTAATTATATAATCAAAATCGATCTCCACGAAAAAGAAGAAAAAGATTTATAAATGGAGTACGTTAATTATCTCATAACATCGTTCAATGACTCATTATTCCACACATCAAACGTGCTAGATAATTTCGAGCACACAAAATGCGGAAAGTTGAAATCAAAATTTTATGTAAGTTTCGTCATACAATCCTTTGCTCGACAGTGTCACAGATAACAGTAAATATAACATCTCTCGCGATATAAAAAGTAATTTACTCAAAGTTAATTTGCGATATTATTTCATCTACAGCATGATGAAAATGAAAATAAAGTACCTGTTGATGCGAAAGAAAATTCCTATTACGCTAACTGCGATGCTTCGGTGTGGATGAGGAGCTGCGAGAAAGAAGTGATTGAGCCCCTACGATCGAGCGAAGTTACTGGCACTATCCCGAAATGGCTGAAGGGCACCCTGCTACGAAACGGTCCGGGCAATCTGAAAGTGGGCAAATACCGTTATCAGCATCTCTTCGACAGCTCGGCTTTGTTACACAAGTATATTTTATACTAAAATAAAGGCTAGAAATTTTCATTGACATAAATATATTGCACAGATTCGGTATCGCGGACGGTGAGGTTATCTACCAGAGACGATTCATCCAGACCGAAGTGTACAAAAGGAACATGGCAGCCCAGAGAATAGTTTACAACGAGTTCGGAACTAACGCGACGCCAGATCCCTGTCAGACTATATTCCACAGGTAAACAGGAGCAAAATAATAGAGATAATCTTGAAATGGAGATAATCTTAATTGAAATATATTTTCCACAATTATTTAAGGAACACACCAAATCAAGAGAAAGTCAAAATGACTTTATTTTGACGTCATAAAAGTCAAAAGATGATTTTTTGTTACAAAATTTGACAGGTTATTGATGTTAGGAATCAAAATAAAGTAATTTTTATTTTTTGTTGACTTTTGTGTATTTCTTGGATAATAGGAAGAAGATTATATATAATATATTTGATGTGTAGACTAATTATACGTTGACTTTGCAGTGCTTTGAACGGAGCTTTGAAGTTTTGCAAGTCGTCTCTCTATTTTAAATTAATTTTAATGATTTTTCAGAGTGGCTGCGGTGTTCAACCCGAACAAAACACTGTCGGACAATTCCATGATTTCGATATATCCATTCGGTGATGAATATTACACGTTCACAGAAGCGCCAGTGATGCACAGAATCGAGCCAAAGAATTTAGAGACGATGGGCAGGGTAAACGCTCTCGTTTGTTTTAAATTTAAATAGTCAATTTAAGTTTGTAATATCTCAGTTTCTAATATTAATTTGCAGCGAAAGTTCAATAATAAATTCTAGTTGCAAAAATTATTTTTTCCATTCGTGTTTCGCAGGTAAACATATCGAAGTACGTTAACATCGTAAATCACACCTCACATCCTCACGTTATGGCCGATGGTACGATTTATAATGTAGGATTGAGTGTAACGCCGATGGGACCTCGATACAGCGTCGTATGCTTTTATCCCAATCGCGTAACTGTTGGTAAGATATTTTCTTATCATTGAAAAAAAATTTACTAAGTTTTAATAAATGTTTGTTTGAATAATAATTAATTAAACATTTACAATAAATAAATAATTATTTATTAAAAAAGATATTTAAATCAAATTAATGTTCTTGTATCAAATAAATATATGTTTACATTAGTAAACATTTAATTGATATTATTTAAGCAAATATTTATTAAAATTTAGTACATTTTTTCATTATAAAAAGAAATTTTTGAAAGAAGAAACTTCTTTCAAAATTTACAATATTATCGGCCGCATAATTAATTTTCTTAAGAGCTCTTACAAGTTTTAAAATATTAGACTAATATATGTATTTTAGGCTATATTAAAACACTTAAAACATAAAAATTCTAAAATATTTAATATTTATCCAAAATATTTAAATTACTTTAGTCAATTTTTAAATGCGATTGTCTTAGATAATTCCGGAAAAGAAAAAGAACTCTCCATGTTCGATCAAGCGACGATTGTGGCCAGTGTGCCGTGCAGGTGGTTGCTAAATCCATCATACATGCACACCTTTGGCATCACAGAGAATTTCTTTATCATAGTGGAACAGCCACTATCGATTTCAATCGTTCAGATGACAAAGAACCACTTCAAACAAGAACCTATGATGAATTCCTTTAAGTGGCACGAAAACAAAAGCGTATGTATCTGTTAATAAAATCAGATTGTTATAAGCACATTAAATCATTATTAATACGTTAAGGTTTTTGATGTTTCTATTATCAGACTCTCATCCACGTGATCTCGAGGAAGACGAGTCAAGTTGTAAATACGTTCGTTGCGGAGACGTTTTTTTACCTCCACATCATCAATCAGTTCGAAACTCGTGATAAGGAATACATCGTGCTGGATATATGCTGTTATCGGAATCCAAAGATGTTGCAGTACATGTACTTTGACGCGATGAAAGTATGATATTCGCGCAGCAAAAATGACTTTCACGTAACGCTGATAATTCCTAATGGATATTTACGTTAATGTGCAGGACATGCATAGGAATGCCAATTTCTCAAGACTGTTCCGCGCCAGGCCGCTACGTTTCGTACTTCCGATGAGAAAACCGAGTTCGGACACGCCATCGGAGCACAATCTTATTACGACTGAAACGATGCATCAGAGCATGAAGGAGTTCCGAGGTGTCAACGGCGAGTCTGTCGATTATAGGTCGAACTACAATGTCAATGGCAACGAAGACAACGTTGAATACTACAGTGAAGCTAAGTTTTGGCGAGATGAACACAGAAGCGTTCTGCAGAAAAAGCCGGCCGCTCATCGCCTTCTCGACGGCAAGATCTTCGTGAAGCCAGAACTTCTCTGTGACGTCGGTTGCGAGACTCCGCGGATAAACACGGATTTTCATCTCGGCAAGGAGTATCGATACTTTTACGCGATCTCCTGCGACATGGACCTGAACAATCCTGGAACGGTCAGTACATTTCATTCCAGAACTTCCAGAGCAAAGTATATCGCGCGTTCGATAAGGGGTTACAAGTCTATGCCCTTATTATTATATGTATAATTTAGTACGACGAGATGTCGATAGCATTTTACTATGTTAATAAAATTAAATTTTATTCGCAGCTCATCAAAGTCGACACCTTCCAAAAAACCAAGAAACTGTGGCAGGAAGATGGTGTTTACCCAAGTGAACCAATTTTCGTACCAGATCCCGATGGAAAGGTAACAACTAAGCACCATTTTCTTGGGAAAGATAAATAAGAGAAAATTTAAATTACTTTTCTCTTGCTCTTTTAGAACGAGGACGATGGGGTGATTGTAAGCTCGATCGTGTGGGCGGATAAAGAGACGCGAGTCGGTTTGTTGATCTTGGATGCTGTGACATTTACAGAAATCGCGAGAGCTACCTTCGACACACCGGGACCGGTACCTAAATGTCTGCACGGTTGGTTCAGTCTGAACAAGTAACCAAATGCGAAAGAAACTGTGGCTTGAATGTAGCATTAATGTAGTAGTGTTAGCTTATTAAGCGAAAAGAAGAATCATTTTAATTGTTTTAAGACTTTAGTATTAATTTTTTAGTATTAAGTTTTGAGTATTAAATTTATCCTGGGGTCAAAGTTCGCAACGTGGCAAATTGTTTCTATTGTTTTAATTGTTTGTGTAAATTATTTTTTTTTGTGGAGAAATGTTTTTCTTTATATTTCTCCCATTTCTTTTAAAATAAATTAAGTATTAATTTATTGCATGATTATATCAACCTATCGGTTATCGAATTTTTCTAACGAATCATGAATCATATAGATAAAGCAAACAATCTTGAAAATAGTCTGTTCGCGTCTAATCATTTTCGCCTTCGTGCTTTTTTTGTAACTGCGCTGATAAATATTTTCAGATACACGAATATAATAAGTCATTTAATATCTTTGAACGACGCGCAATGTGTTTACAATCGGCAGACAATGCCGTTGTATAAGGATGCAACAATACGTGACGCTGTTCGTCGATTATAATAAATGTAACAATAAATGTACAATCTTAACAAGATGAGAATCTAGTCGAGTGGAATGTAAAATCTTAAACATCGTCAGAAATTTTCGCATTTCGCTCATTGAATGGCGGAATATTAAAATAATATTAGAGTCATATTCTTTAGACTGCAGTAATAACAATAATTATAATACAAAGTTGATGTAGACAATTTTGTTGTCGAACAAAATTCGGTGTAGACAATATCGTCTCAATTGCACTATTAAAAACTATCGAAACAGTAACTACGATATATATGATCCTTTACTTCTAATATCCTAATTGATCTAATAGTGAGTTTTTTTTACAAGAAAATACTCTTCATTCTGATACATCTGAAATGCAACTTTCAATTGTTAGGATACATATCTCAGATAAATTCACCAATGAAAATTTTTAATGATAATCGAAAATCGCACTCGATTTTCAAGTTGAATAATTTCTAAACGCGTTCTAGTTTTTAGAAGAAATCCAATGGGCATCTTTCTCGGCTGTTCCAAATTAAGTATCGTGAAGAATGAAAGAGAATTGTCTGCATTTTTTTTTTGCTAAATTCAATCTACAACATGATGATCTTCTCGTATACTTAAAATTGACAATAGTTAACGATTAATAAATAATAGTCTGGCACAACCATGGTCAGATACTTACTAGCTAAAGGAGCGTCAGCGTAGAAACCCTAAATGATCTCATACGTCGATATCATATTATATTAGGTCCAATTATGCACGTTTCATCACGCAGGAAAGTGCAGCGTCGCTGCTTTTGGCACTACAAATCACTTTCGCTCCATCGAGAGATCCGTTCAGCCGTTTAAAAAACTTACCTTGTCGCTTGTCGATAGTAGCGATAAATTCGCGATTTACAGTATTTCATAAAGGTGATACTCTCAGCTCGATACCAAGACACGAAAGTCCGTCTGATTTCGATCCAGACCTCGCGCGTGTTCTTGTATCATGCTTGTTATTCTAATAAATGTTATTCTAATAAAATATATAACGAAAAAACATACGTGTTTCACGATGTTTCCAGATAAAACGATTTAAATCATCATTAAGAAACGAATCTCGATGTGCGAATCCATCTATCTATCCGATAAAAATAGTCCGCGTATACGAACGTGGATACGATCGGTGATCGCATCTCACATAACATTATGTTAGAACGAAATAAGAAATTCCGAAACGGAACTGCAACGCTTAATACTATTTCGCGCATTCGCGTCTTGTCTTGGGACTTTCGTTATTTCGCTCACCTTAAGGCTTAAGTACGAGAGAAGTGTTTGAGAGAATATCATTACGCACATAACGACTTCGTCGCTCTCGAAACGCGTGAAAGGGAAAACAAGGAAAGAGTAAAGGAAAATTAGATAAAACACGGCTCTCGCATTATTTAGGTCGCGTCACGCGATTATACGTCGACGCGGCTATCACAATATAAGCTTTTGCTTATTTTGACACGGCAAAACCCTTAGACTTTATCCACTTTCTCGCAGTCCACGGAGTTTATAGAGTTTATCGCGTTGATGTTCTTGTTGATCTCTGTATCCGTCTCGCTTCTCGCCAGGCTCGAGAGTGATTCGGCAATGTGCGATTCGGGATGCATCGGCAGAATACCAGCATTCGCGTCCTCGATGGCTTTCCTCAGCTGCAAAATAAAATCCATGTGTAATTTTATTAATTGAATTAGGGTTTATAATTTTTATTCCCCAATCAAGACGATCGTTCGTTGATTTTTAAGGGACTTGGCTGGAGAATTGTACCGTCGTGAACCATACCTCCTTCAACGCAACTACTCCGACCAGCCTGCCAATGGCCGTTACATAAGCGTGATTCACGCCGACCATACTGAAGAGGCTGTGCACCTTGAGCAAGGACGTTCTTTCGACCAGCTGGAAAGGAGCTGGGTCAATATGACACCTCGAGAAATCCACCTCGAGTGCCATCTCGCTCTCCTCCCACCCTTTCTGATCTTCGGCCGACATGTCTATCACTCTCTCTCGAGGCTGATCAACATACGCAAATGTATCATTTAGACACTGTATTTAGAGGAAACAATTATGTTTGCTCACCAATTGTACTTTCTTCGATGTCGCTGGACTTGGAGCCAGCATGGGTGTATGAGACTGCACGTTCATGACTTCTTGACTCCCTCTGGTACCCAGCTCCGGATCAGGATCCACGTCCTGCAACGTGGCGGATTTGCGGAAGATCGCCTCAAACGCCAAACGAATCCTGCGATATATTGATAATTATTCTTTCATGTTCTATTCCATATTATTTACTATTCTACAAAAGTATTTATTAAAATATTCGAGACGCTTGAAAAAAAATAAAAACAAAAAAGGCAGGTAATGTATGCGCCTTCTCATAAAACGTACAATAGATAAATTATAAAAATTAATAAATTAATTATCTAGTATAAAATATATTTTTTACTAGATGAAAAATTGTTGATGCTAGAAATAATGAAACGACTCACCTGCTTTCCGCGCCTGTAACTGTCGTATAGGGTGTCACCGCCGGGCTTACTAACGGGCTGAATCCTTTAAGAGTGAAAGAATTGGTCTTCTTCAAAATTGACTTTTTCGGTTGCGATCCAAACACTGGTGAATGGAACGTATGCTAAGATGCAAGAAAAGTACTACATTAATCCACATCGAGGAGAATGATACACAAGGAGAGGAACAACCGCGATTGACGTCAAAATCAACCACACGAACGCTTACGCGAACTCACATGATCGGGACCGCTGCCGTTGTTTGCTGACATCGTTAGATCATTAACACTCTGCCTCTGCATCTTGAGAATGTCCGGTGCCGGGATGACCTCAAATCTCGAAGGTCTTCTCGTCCTCTCCTGCTCCCTCAACTGCCGTTCTATTTCCTCGCGCGCTCTCTCCTCCGCCTCCTTGTGCCATTTTTGCGCAACCTGCGGAATGTCAACGATGATATATAGAAACGAAAAATAAAATCGCGAATGAACTTCCAAGGTATTGGAAATCCTATTACCTGCAACCTTCTCTCGCGACCGATGTGCTTCTCGATGAGCTTGACTAGTGCTAATCGTTGGATCGATCCAAGCAGAATCATGGAGTCTGGATTATCCACCAACGGAAATCCGCGAAGTTTGCGATTTTCTTTTAATATGTCTTTCAGTTTCTGATAACTAATGCCATGCCATATGTACTTGACATCACGGACCATGAAATCCTCCACATAAACATTGTACATTCCTACAATAATTAATTTTTTTTTACTACCATTTTCTCGGTTGTAAAATCAGATGTAAAATCTGCGACAAGTCGTAAAATTACGAACAAAATTACCTTCTTATTTATTCCGAACGAAACGCTTTACGGAATAACAATATAAGCGTACAATGTTAGTTCAGTTAATTGAAAAGAAGATAAGTTATCGTAAAAGGGGAAGAAGTACCTGAACTGGATGGAAGTAGATCAGGCAAGTAAGGCAATTTCTTGATAAGAATGATGCTGTCGTATATACTAGGCTGTAAAAGCGCAGCGATGGCATTGCTAATCAGTACTGCTATCATTATGGGCACGATGTGTGTGATCTGACCGGTCATCTCAAAAATGATGACACTGACGGATATTGTATGCGTCACCGCGCCGGAGAACGCGGCCGCGCCCACCGTGGCATACCCACCTAAATGAAACAATTTCACGACATAAATCTAATTCTTCCCTCGATTTTTCTTTCCTCTTTAAACTCGATTAAAATTACCTCACATAAGTATGGACTCACCGTGAATTTTTTTAGATACTGACATGTTTAAGAAACATGAGTCTTCATCGATTTATTCGTAATAAGTTATTTTTAAAATATTTCAATAGAAAATAATTTTTTTATATTTCAGTACAAAATAATAAGAAACATCAATAGATAATTATATTGTATAAGTATTTAATTAAAGATACCTGGTACAATGGGTGTAATTACTCCGCCATAACGTACACCAGTGGGAAACCAAAGAGCCATAGCTTCACCGACTGCTCTGCCTAGCGCAGCACCAATCTTGAATACGGGGATAAAAATTCCAGATGGTACCGGCACCGTCGAACTTATAATTGAAAAGATGAACTGAAACCGAAGTCCGTTTTTTGCATTTTCTGTGTTCTTATCATATAATCTATTTAAGAATATCGCGATCGAGTAATTATGCGAAAAAAAGTCATCTTCTTACAGTGACTAAAACAAAACTAAGAAGTCCGCTGAAGACATCGGTATATGATGTTGACCAATGCTTCACGATATTCATCTCCTCAACGCTGAGATTCTCCTTCGTCCAAGTAAAGTTAGTGAACAATCCGAAAACCTGATCGTGGGTGTTCAGATCACCAGCCATGAATTGACCGAGCCCGACGGGAAATGATACAGATGAGACCATCAGAGACACAATGCCAGGATATAGAAAACGACTGAAATTAACGAATCGTTTCTTGATCACAAACTTAAAATGATCGTAAAAGAAATTCGCGCTGTGGCGATTATTAGAATTCCGATACGCGATTTCGAGTGACTTACTTCTTCTGTAAGAAGCTGTTCATGCTCTTGTTCTTCCTCATGAAGATCACGTATTGCCTGTGCAGCCAGACGTAGAAAGCACCCAGCAGCCCGCTGCCGACGCCGATCAGGGCGAAGACGAGAAGCTCCTGCGGATCGAAAGGGAACTCCATGGTGAAACTGGTGGCGAACATCGCTGTGATGGTCTCTTCACGCTGGAACCAGATTGCCAGTAGACGAAACATCGTGGCTCCACAGACTGCAGCAAAGAAACCACGCCAATAGTTTCTGACTGCAAAATACACCGTGGTGACCTCGATACTGAAGAGGACTCCGCCGATTGGGGCTGCAAAACAGGAAGCGACGCCCACCGCGCAGGCTGCGGCCAGCATCTCACAGTTCCTGCTCTCGTTCTCGTAGATGCCTTGGAAGCTCGTGACTAATTTGGAGAGGAGCGTCGCGACGATGCTGGCGATGTGTACAAATGGACCCTCCTTGCCGAGTGGCAACCCCGAGCCCAAAGTCGCCGTTAAGCCGATCACCTTTAACATATCACGATCTTTATTATTCCTGTCTCCCTTTTGCAGGATTCTTAACGCGCTCTTTCAAGGACTTTAAGGAAGTTGTAATACAACTTTGACTCGTATACGCGCGCTCGATCTTAATATTAATTTTCTTAAGCTTTTAACGGCTCGATAAAATTGTTTCGTAAATAACTAACCTTGGCAATCAAAGTACGAAAAGTCAGATATTCTTTCAATGCCACGCCGCGTAGGATGGTCTTCATTTCTGGGATACCCGAGCCTATACTTTGAGGTGCAACGATATGCACGAAGCCAGCGCTAAAGAGAATAAGGCACACTGGCATGGACACCCAGGCCAGGTACTTGAAGGCCGGATGCGTTGTGAGATCCTGATAGAGCCATATCCTGGCTGGTGAAACGAGATTATCGTTAATTATCGTGCTATAACAATATCAGTATTAAAGACTTTGCGTTAATTTTTATACTTTTGCAAAACTCGAGCCCTTTGAACTATCTGTATTAACGTTTACAATTATTAGAATAGAAAATTTTACAATCATTTTATAATTGTAATTTTCTATGCAGAGATTTGTAACGTTTTTATTTTTTATTTAAAATAAATGTACAGGCAGGGTCTAAAAGGTTGCAACACTTTTTTTTAAATGAGTTTTGGAATGCAGCCTATTCACCGAGTGATTGATGCTTATTTGTCGATCCATGAATAAAAACCAATCGCTCGTTGAGCAAGCTGCATTCCGAAACCCATCGAAAAAAAATGTTGCAACCTTTTAGGCTCCGACTATACATATATAAATAGATAATAAAATCATGTATTATTATTTAAAAAATATATAAACATGTATAATTTGGTTAGATATCAACAAATTCTGTAAATATTCTCATATAACAAATGTAATAATTATTCAAAATATTTTATTTGGAGATGAATTTATTTCCAAAAGCAAAGTAGACTGACCGTTATTACACATGGAAATGCCACGATCCATGGCATAACTGATGAGAGCCATAATAATACCGAGGAGGGCAAGGAAGATCCAGTCCTCGCCTAGCCGGGCGCCGGTGTGTTTCCAGGCGAAGGCCAGCAGGGCCAGCAATTTCCGGCATAGAGGACCCCGCCTCGACTTCCGTAGATCTTCGGCCCTCGTTTTATCATATTTTCGTCTGGCTTTTTCTTGATACTTGAGCTTGCGTGCCTCTTCCTTCGCGTACTCACCCAGATCCTTCGTGTAGCGACCATACATCTGGAGGTAGCCGGTTTCGCATCATTTTAAATGTTCGGTTGTTAATTAATCGATTCATGCGCAGACGAGAGACGTCAGACTTGCTCATCTGAATTCTGAGTCCACTTTGGACGGTCCATAATTCGAATTAAATGCGAGATTCAATATAATATGACAAAATATAATTTATTTATTTATCTTATTATGAATTTTGTATCACATTTCCTATATATTTACATCGAATTCGGAAATGTAATTCAAATTTTCCCTTCATTCTTAGTTTTTTTATAGCATTTGTAAAATATTAGATACTTAAAGAAAATTATTATAATTATTTTTAAATAACACATATAAATATTTTTTAGACACAGCAGCTATACTCGCGCACGTGTTATGTTCATTCAAAAATTTCATGCAAGCATGATGCAGAAAAATTATGTATTATTAATAAGAGTTGCATATAGTAATGCATATTAATAATAGTTGCATATAGTAATTATCAACTAAATATTAAAATAACTTCACTATAATTTAGCGTATCGCATTCTGTTAATCACATCGTATCTCTTTGTATAATTCATCATAAGATCCGATAAAGAGTTCCATTGGATCTCAAATGTACTGAGTACTCCTATCTATCGATCAAACTGGACGCTTTTCTAGACTAGATGGTTACAATCTTTTCGAAAAATTAAAAAAAAACACAATCAGTATCGTTTGCATAATTCAATATTGTTCATTCTTTCTTTTCAAATGCTTCGAATATTGTGAGATCTTCTTGTCTACCTTTCGAATGTAACTTGCGTTTTATATACACTGAAAAAAGGTAATGTTATATTAACAGCATTATTTTAATTAAAAATAATCTTGTTGATTCAATAACGGTGTAACAGAATAAACAAAATTTTTAAAACAAGAGAGTGTTATGGCACTAACAAAATTATTTTCAATCAAAATAATGCTATTGATATAACATCGTTTTTTCAATGTATAACATACCTATTATCAATGATCTGAAGAAAATACTCGATTTCGATAAGCTTGCCTCTGATAATAATCGAAGTTGTTGCCAATTAGATTCGCAATTAGAAGTTCTCGATTGGTTTAAGTACTTTCTTACGATACTAATCGACGGAGAAATATTAAAGAAAAGCGACAGAGCGAAAGAACTTTCCTCTTTTTTACTGATGATTTAGCACTAAAAACGACCGTCTTAAAACTGATACAAAAATCATTTCTGATATCATGCGGTGTAAATACTATCTATCACAACGAGCGTTTTATAATTCATAAAACGGGCCATGTAATGTAATTCTTAACAGATTAATAAAATGATAAAAAAAAAAATTTCTCGACAGATAGCAGATCACAGCGATACGATCAATGGTCTACGAAACGGTTAACGACCGATTAGTTCACACTATTTTTTTCAAATGTCGTTGAATCCGTTTATTTGTTAATTTAATATAATTGTAAAAAAAGAAAATTAATGTTTATGCATGCTAAAATTATGTTATTGCATAAACGTCAAGCATATGTCATGATTGTCCACACGATATTATTATTGTCTTCACACGAGTGGCGATAAATAATGAACTATCATCGGCGGACCGCAAGAAACAATTGTACGAAATTGTTCGTAATGGTCGTAATGCCGGGAAAACTGTGCGCTTTCGCGACGAGAGTGTCTCAACAGAAAACCTATCCTGTCTTAGGAAAACGTGGAGGAGTTAAAACGTGGAGGAGTTAAAACGTGAGGATGTACTTACAAGGTAGTTGTCATTACAGACAAAGTATGCCCTGTTCAAAACCAAAGTCGGCAAAGAGAGCTGGGCGAGGATTTTCACGGATTGCATCGAAGATTCATCGCTCGGATAACTCGACTCGCGGTAATTCGAATTTAAGCCCGAGGGTGTGTCGCTCTTCGACTTCTCCTCCATTTCGTTTTTTTTACTGCACAATCTTTTTAATTTACAATCTGAAGTTCCGCTACACAATACAGCCACGCATGAACGATCCTGATTTTTTCGTTGGAAAACTCACGTCTGTCCGTCATTTATAATAAAAGATGTGTTTTATTTGATTCAAAAATTATCACTTCATTGTAGGGTTGGTAAAAATAAATTGTTTAAAACGTGCTTAATCAATGTTTTTAACATGTTTTAAACATGTGTTTTTATAATACTGTTCAAAGCATGTATGCAGCATTAAAAATATACAATGTTTTATTCTTAAAAAAAAAACCACTATCTCTTATCAACCTTGCCTCATTGTAATTGAGCTCCTAGTCAGAATCATTGAGCCATTAAAATTTTTGAAACTCGATAAATCCCAAAATCCAATAGTTTTTTTAATGTTTATGATTTTTATTCTTCGTTTCTTGCGCATTCTTACGCAATAATTATTTTGGGGATAATAAATAAATAAATAAAATAAGGTTTTCATAAAACAAAATAACAGAAAAACACTAAAGATTCTCTATCATCACTCACTTTCTTTGTTGTTAATTTCATAAATTCCCAGTATCACTAAATGTATTTTTAAATCGTCACGTAAATTTGTATAAATTGTTTAATATGCACAGAAATCTGCTTTGTTTCTTCTATAAATTCATAAATTCTGCATCATCATCTGATTTATTTTCTTCGAAATGTCACTCAAGAAAATGTTTCGCTGATTAATATTAATCCACTAATAACAAATTTTTTAATCTTTATATTTTAATTTCGATTATATATCCAGCGTAATAAAGTTTGCGTCTGTCACATTTTTTGCACAAGTTCCTGTCCGAATTTAACGACTAGCAATAAAATTGCGGCAACGTCTGCGCGAACTTTTATAACCGTTTCGAAGAATTCCTTTTTTATTTTTAACAAAATAATCCCATGCATCTATGCATGCGTGCACACAAATGCAAACTAAACAGCGACGTCTCGTAGATGTCTGCTTCAAAGCTCAGCAGAATATTTGTTGAAATTTGGCAACAGTCAAAATCCTTATTTTTAGCATCGCCCAACCAACGTCAACAGGGCGAAATCCTATTGTTTATTGTCGAATAAGCTGCAACGTATCACTTAATGTTGTAAATTCATCTGATAGGCGTCCTGATTTTCAAGATGCACCATATCTTTTATCACAAACTGTTTGTATAATCAGAAATTAAAATCAATAATGCTCATAGAGAGCCGACATAGGTTGTAAGTTTGTAAGTAAGTTGATTAAAATTTTTTAGTAATGATAAACATTTCGACTTTACCTTTTAGTATAGTCATTCTCAATACAATCTAGGTGAAATTTTTAATTTTACATTATAATTAAAGTTAATATCGTAACTACTATAATTGAACGCGTTTTTTTATCACCTTTAAGTGAATTAATATCCTAAAGCCAAATTGCGCAATTTACATGAATAATCCTCAATATTGAGATACGGTAATTTCAATTGATACACTCCTATCGATAATTATTAAGTTATTAGAGTCGGAAATATAGTCAGAAATAGGGACTTTTTAAATTGTATAATGAAGACAAAAGTTCAGAGTTAATGTGATTGAGTAGATACGTTTTCTAAAATAAAAGTCATCAGTTTTACTTGTGATGAACAATTAAAAGCCTTATCTCTAGATGTTTGTCTAAATAGTGAACATTAAAATGAAAATATTAAACATACGAATATGTAAACAAATTAGTATGTTTAATATTTTATCAGTGTATTAATAATTGAGACTATCGGCATCAAGGATTACTCATTTTCGTTATTTGACTTTATAATGTTAATTCACTTATAGATTATAAAATGCGTTCAATTATAGTAATTACGGTATATTAATTTTAATTATGATATGAAATTAGAAATTTCATCTAGATTGTACCGAGAATGACTTAAAAAGTAAGATCGACTATTTATCACTATTAAGCATATACTAAAAGATTTTAATAAACTTACTTACAACTTGTATCGATTCTTTCTATATGAGCACTATTAATTTTTTATTTTAATTTTTTTATTTAATTAAGGCTCATTGGAACTTTAACATTGTTTTCATTGTCTGTATAGTATATAATGTCACTTCTTTAAAAAAATCTCAAATCTCTGGATTACGCACAGAGTATATAGAATTTATTTATTATACAATGTGTCCTATGATCTCAAAAATATACTTGGCACGAGACGCTATCACGCCTGTTATTTATTCGCCACCATTAATATATCGTTTTCATTCTTTTGATTGTAAATCTAATATTTTTTAAATCTTATATATTCACTCATGTATTCGTAAACTCGACACGTAACATCTTGGTTTATTTATCCGTCTGCTTCAAATTTATATATATTATCCTCTCATCAACCCTCAGTAATCAGTCACGCACGTTATCGTGCGACTTGTTTTAAGCAGGTAAAAGAGAATATAATAATGTGTAAAAACATCGATAAATATCCATGAGTGACATTTTTTATCACGATAATTTTATGATAATTTCATCTCTTTTTACTCGTAGAAATATGTACATGATATTATCTTAACAATTATCTTATAAAATGAGATCGAGCGACAGAGATAATCGAATCTCAACATTGATCGGAGTGTCAATGATCTCAATCATAACTATGATGTATGATATTACAATTTTAGCAACATTTCTAAAATTTGTTGACGATATAAATATGCGTGTGACAGATACAGCGTGCATCGCATAATTCCGTCGAACGGTTATATTGCAACTATTCTGTACGATCGTGCAATGACTCGCAAAATTCAATGCAAAATACCTCGGGATATCGATTTGATTTAATTACAGACCTAGAAATCGATTGGTCTGTCAGTCGTACGCATTGTAGTTCTTGAGCGGCGAGAATCATGCCGAATGTATAAATGGAGGAGATAATACCATTGAAATATTTATAGGTAGAAATAAGGCGCGTATTTTAATCGCGCGGGACAATCGATTTAAATATGAAGATATCGCGTGAAACAGAGATTAGATAAGATCTGACAAGTTTGATTCCTTGAATTAAAATA